GCTTGGGGTATCAGAAATTTTTTTCCAGTAATCAGGTAGTTAGACCTCAACAGGGTTTACTGCCCACACCAAACAAAGGAGTGGTCAACGCGGCTGGATCGTCCAGAGATACCATTCCCATTAAACGCTTGTCAGCTGCAGAAATGATGGAAAAAAGAGAAAGAGGCCTATGCTACCATTGTGATGAAAAATTTCACAGGATCCATTTCTGCAAGGGAAATATGTTGTTAATGATGATCCAAGAAGGTGAAGAGGAGGAAAAAGAGGAGGAATTGGAAGTTACCAATGAGAAAATTGGGGGTGAGGAAGAAATACCGGGCATTAGCTTACATGCCATGGATGGCCAATATTCTTCTAGGACACTACGGTTGAGAGGAGTCATCAATAAGAAAACGGTCCAAGTGTTGGTAGATGGAGGATCTACCCATAATTTTGTGCAAGAGAGGATGGTCAAATTTCTTGGGCTGGAAGTAAAACCCATCACTCAGTTCCAGGTACTGGTGGGCAATGGAGCACGCTTGGGGTGTAAAGGAGTCTGTCAACAGATAGGACTGAACTTACAAGGACATATGTTCTTCCCAGATATATTTTTTCTCCCAATCCAAGGAGCTGAAGTAGTGTTGGGCGTTCAATGGTTGTCCGAGTTTGGAGATGTGACTACCAACTACAATAATCTGGTTCTGAAATTTGAGAGAGCAGGAAAACTGATTGAGCTACAAGGGGAGAGTAGATTGCAGGTGGAACCCATCGAGTTACATCAACTTCGAAAACTGACACATTCTGATGCTGTGGCCACCTACTTCCAAATGCAGACTATTGACCACCAATATTCAGCAGACCCATATGAGGAGAAAGATTGCCACCCATTGATACAACCAGTGTTACATGAGTTCGAAGATATCTTTGAAAAACCAACACAACTACCACCCATAAGATTGGAGGATCACCGAATCCATTTGGAGCCTGGAACCAAGGCCGTGAATGTTAGACCCTACAGGTACCCTTATTTTCAAAAATCAGAAATTGAAAAGATGGTTAAAGAGATGTTGGATACCGGAGTTATAAGGCCTAGCTTGAGTCCCTTCTCTTCCCCAGCCTTATTGGTCAAGAAGAAGGATGGAACTTGGAGGTTCTGTATTGATTATAGAGCTTTAAACCAAGTCACCATTCCGAACCGTTTCCCAATTCCCACAGTAGATGAAATGTTGGACGAACTAACAGGAGCAGTCATTTTTTCTAAACTGGACCTACGCTCAGGTTACCATCAGATTAGAATGGCTCCTGAAGATGTGTATAAGACAGCCTTTAGAACACACCAAGGGCACTACGAGTTTATTGTGATGCCCTTTGGGCTCACTAACGCCCCAGCAACATTCCAAGGTATTATGAACTCGGTTCTAAGGGAATTTCTGCGCAAGTTTGTTATAGTATTCTTTGATGACATACTAGTGTATAGTAAGTCAGTGTGGGAACATGTGGAGCATCTAAGGAGGGTTATGAATTGTCTTCGGCAGAATCAGATGTATGCCAAAAGATCCAAAAGTGCATTTGCTCAAGAGGAAGTGGAGTACTTGGGTCATGTGGTAGATGCAAAGGGGGTGAGACCAGATGTGGGAAAAATACGGGCTATAATGGATTGGAATACACCATCCACTCTGAAACAATTACGCGGGTTCCTTGGCTTAGCTGGTTATTACAGAAAATTTGTTCGTGGATTTTCTCAAATAGCAGCCCCATTAACCGCTTTGTTACATAAGAATGCCTTTATTTGGAGTGATAAGGCTGACCAGGCTATGTTCGAACTAAAGAAGGCCCTGTCTAACCCACCAATTCTCGCACTACCAGATTTCACTAAGAGATTTGTGTTGACAACTGATGCTTCAGGTATTGGGGTGGGAGCTGTACTAAGTCAGGATAACAGACCAATAGCCTATTTCAGCAAGAAACTCAACCCTAAGATGCAACAAGCTTCAACCTATGTGAGAGAGATGTTCGCTATCACTGAGGGTGTTTCTAAATGGAGGCAGTATTTATTAGGGGGACCTTTCACTATTAGAACTGACCAAAGGAGCCTAAAGGACATGATGGGACAGGTTATACAAACCCCTGAACAACAACGCTTCCTGGTTAAGTTGCTTGGATTTGATTATACCATAGAGTACTACCCAGGAGCTGTGAATAGGGTAGCCGACGCGCTATCTCGAAAATCTGAAGCGGATTCAACAGGACAAGCAGAGGCTGCATGCACAATGGTCCTAACACAGGTTACTCACCACCTGATTGAACAAATAAAGTCAGAGGGTCAAACCAATACAGAATTAATCCAATTGAAAGACAAAATTGAAAGTGGTGTTGAAGGGTATGAACAATACAGTTTGCGTGAGGGATTGATCCTGTACAAGGGCAGAGTCACGGTTGCTTCCAATTCAGAACTCAGAATGGTCATCTTGCATGAATTCCACTCTTCTTTGATCGGAGGGCATGGGGGAGTCAAGAAGACGTTGCAGAGGATACTTCCAAATTATTACTGGACTAATCTAAAAAAAGATGTTCAGGAATTTGTTAGAACTTGTCCAATTTGCCAAGCAACAAAGTACCAACCAATGTCACCGGCAGGCTTACTACAACCCTTAACCGTACCTCTAGCTATTTGGGAGGATTTGTCCATGGATTTCATTGTTGGGCTTCCCAACTCAGAAGGAAAGACAGCCATCTTAGTCGTGGTAGATCGTCTCTCCAAGTATGCACACTTTATTGCTCTTTCCCCAAACTTCACGGCCACTAAGGTAGCTTCAGTTTTTGTGGAAAATGTCTGTCGTTTACATGGAATCCCTCGTTCGATAGTATCTGACAGGGACAGCATATTTGTGAGCAAGTTTTGGTCTGAATTAGCCCGTTTAAGCGGCACTAAGCTGTGCTACAGCACCGCTAACCACCCTGAAACAGACGGACAGACAGAAGTTACCAACAGAGGTCTAGAGCAATATTTGCGTTGTTATGCAATGGAAACACCAAAGCATTGGGTGCATTACCTGCCATGGGCGGAATTTTCTTACAATTCGGCTTATCACTCTTCAATCGGAGTTTCCCCTTTTCAAATTGTATATGGCAGAGCTCCTCCCAATATACCACCGTACGAAGGTACCACATCTCCAATTGAGGCAGTGGACGAGTTGCTGAAAAGAAGAGATGCCATGATCAAACAACTTAGGGAGACCTTGCATAGAACCAGACAAAGAATGAAAATACAGGCAGATAAAAGGAGAAGAGATGTGCATTTAGAAGTGGGAACTCTTGTGCTCGTTAAGCTACAACCTTATAGACAAAGCTCCGTCCGCAATCAAACCTTCTCCAAACTCAGGAGACGTTACTATGGACCCTTCACCATCACCGAACGGGTTGGTCAGGTGGCGTATCGTGTGGATCTACCGGCTGAATCGAGGATACATCCGGTGTTCCATGTATCTCTCCTCAAGCCATATCGACAGAATCCATCCTTTCATTTGACACCCCTTCCACAGATCAGTTGGGATAATCACCCAGTCACCAAACCAGTGGCGGTACTCAGAACCCGTGTCATCCAACGAGGAAGAGAGGAAAGTTTGCAACTTTTGGTGCAGTGGGACGGTTTACCACTAGAGGACGCGACTTGGGTCTCCTACACAGAGTTCTGTCAAGCTTTTCCTGGTTTTGATCTTGAGGACAAGATTGATTTTTCAAGGAGGGAGGGAATTGATAGAACCCCTTCTATCGAACCTACTAATATGGTAGAGGGCTTGGGTGCTGTAGACCAGGGAAAGGAGAGTGAGACTGACCAGAGGAGGACAGACAAGAACATACGTGGACAAAGAAGAAGAGACCAGAGACTAAGGCAGACACCTGGATGGCTTAAAGACTTTTGGGCTTTGACAAGTGACTGAGTGAAGTGAAGATGGACAAAAGGTTATTGGGCTGAGAAGTGGCCCATTAACTATCAGCCAAATAAATAGTAAAATAAGTAATTCCAAAGAGATAGCTGGCCCAGTAATTACATTTACCTTTTAAAATTACATTCTGTTTTACATATAGTGGCATAGGGACCACTTGGGGTTTTTTTTAGCTAAAATCTTGTAACAAACTTCTCTTTTCTCTCGCTGAAAAACCTTCTGGAGTTGCCGGCAACCTCGAATCTGCCGTTGTTAAATAAATAGAATCAATAACAACAATGGAGAATATAAAATTTATTATTTTTTATTAATTTAAAATAGGAGAATGTTATACTTACCCTTGTTTTAGGTTTATCACTCTTTTTTATTGATTGATTATCGTTGAATCAATTTAAAATTAATGGTTGAAAAAAGAAAAGAAAAACTACCATGGTCTTAAATTGATCCAACACTAATCAAACTGGCAATAAAAATAGTAAACCTAAAATGATAATAATCATAATCACACCCTATAAAATACCCTACTTTTATATATAACACCTAAAGGTGAAAAAGGGAAACTAAGCTAAGATTGTGATTCACTGGTTATTTTTTTATTTTTATTCTGAAGCAGTGTTACATAATAAATTACAAGGAAAATTAAATAAAAATCGATTGATTGAAAATAAAAGTATTCAATAAAATATATATACGGGGGAGATGTTTTTCTTATTATGATTTTTTCTTTTTCCCTCTTATTTCATTAATTTCTATTAATTTAACGATCCTACATATGACCCGACAGCTTCTTTCCCTATAGTTCTATTAATTAATTAAGGGCTTTGGTTTTGTCATGTTACATGAATAATTTTTTTTTCCTACAAAGAAAAGACAAACTAGATAATAATAAAGAAAGTGAAAGATACACTCTTTTCAAGGACTTTGTGTTGTCTCAAGTGGTTGCATGACACCAGTTTTTTCCCTACAACATTATTCTTATTTATCCCATTAATTAATGGTGAATACGACACCGTGTTCCCTATAGTTCTATTAATTAATTAACGGTAAATTCGGCACCGTGTTGCTGGACTCCAGCTTGAGGTCGGAATTGGCCTTTTAATTTCTGACGGAAAGCATGAATGAGTGAGAATGACGACGATTCAGTGAGAGATTGAATTATTTGATCTCAACTGAAACAGCAATGAATGAATCAGAAGCGGTGATGGACAAGGTTGTGGAACAGTTGGAAAAAGTGAAGAGGGAATGGGAAGAGACACAGAGAAAAACGCAAGAACACATTAAGGCAATCGAAGAGTATGGGAAATCAGGAAGAGCCAATGAGGAGATAAATTCTCTTCCCAGATTGAATGGGATCGCTCAGGATGGTTTGTCACTCCTTTCTTCCTTCATCTTCACCCTCGATCTTCTCGCTCCACAGTTGCCCACTGAACAAGACGTTCAATCTGCTCGCGCCATGCTTGAATCTTGGAAAACCCTAATTCAAAAGTACTCTCTCTCTCTCTCTCTGGATGTTACTCCTTTTTCTGTTATAGAAATTAAAATTATGTTTGTTTGTTATTGAATTCTAAAGCAAATTGATATAAAATAGTTAATTTATTTCCGTTGATAGTGTTTACAGGGCCCATTGTAAAAAAAAAAAAAAAAGCGCTATATTTTATCAGATGAGCCCAGGATAAATGTTACTTGTTTGTTAATTTCTGATGATAGGTTTTTTTTTTTTTTTTTGAATAACAGTTTGCGGTTAAATCTGAGGAATGCCAATCTGCAAGCCAAGGCTAACTTGAGGAAAGCTGCTCAGGAGGAGGCAATATACTTACTTGATTATCCTTAACCTTATCGTTTTGCTCATCTTATTTAATTCTTGGTGTGTTATTTGGAACATCTTGTCATCAACGACTACCATGTTGTGTTATTTGTGCTAGTGACATGGAAGATTATATCATGATCATGGACTCCTTGTTTTCTGTTTGTTTACGTTGATGGGTTGGAATACAATGTGACTTATTCTATTTTTTTATGATGCAGAGAGAATTACTTCTAGGTGGTGGAGAAGAGTCCACTGTTCGCAGACGCAATTTACAGTATGTCCTTGGTGCCATATTCAGCTGGGGTCAAATTATGCTTGCTTTTTATTTATTTATTTATTTATCATTTAGTGCCATTTCCATTGGAAAATTCAGTTAGCATGCCAGGATAAAGTGTTTTATTTCTCAAATTTGTGATCTTCTTCCAGGACAAAAGCTGGAATGACATCTGCTGCAGAGAGCATCACAGAAAGCCTTCGACGTTCTCGTCAGTTGATGGTTCAGGTTAGTAGTTAGGTATCTTTCTTTTCTAAACTTAATTTTTGATCGTGCTCTCTAGTTGTAATATTATATTACATAGTTATTGTTCTTTATGACTATTTTATGATGGGTTGATTAGCATACTCATTGTATCTCTGTCTTAATTAGGAGGTTGAAAGAAACACAAGCACACTTATGACTCTTGGTAGGTACATTTTCCTCCCTCTCCCCCTTTGTATATTGATGTGGTTCTTTTATCTTTCTACTTCTACTTTATTTTTCCAGTGGTATTACGTTGTGTATTATTTTTTGTGTATGTGAAATTTATATGAAGACAAAGAAAAACGTATATGATTTTTAGCTGTTAGAGTAATACTCATCTCTGAGTATTTCTATAGCTCGATAATCTAGAACTGTCCTAGCAGTTACAGCTGTGTAACTGCTATTAGAGCAGTTAGAAACAGTTGTGAGTCTGGGCAGGCTGCTTAACTATAAATGTAACAGAACTGACATGGTCTCATCAGCTGTAAAATAACAAGTTCAGAACAAAACACTTTCAGTTCCTTTTCTCTCACTGTTTTTCTCTCGTCACTTTCTCTCATTTTCTTGCTATTTCTTGATTTCTATCATAGGCTGGCTAAATAAGTCAAATTGGAAGAAAGAATATTGCAGGGAGTGAGTTTCAAGTTAGCTGGAAGCTATCCCATTTATAGCTTCAGGCTGCTCTCCATGTAATAATATTTGAAGTCTTCTTTTCTTTCAAATGAATCTTCTTGTCGACCCCACAATATTACAAGGCCCTCAAACTCAAACCTATATATTTTATGAAAGCTTAATATGAAATTATTTACTTTAATCATTCATGTGAATTTTTCTCATTCTCTTTCTATCGCTAGCAGAATGTAGTGCGCTGAAAAGAAGACACCTGTCAATAAATTGAAAAAGTTTAGTAAAACCAAGATCATCCTCATTTTGCTTGAACGATGAGCATACTATGTGCTTGAATTAAGACCAATTGTTATGGTCAAGCTGAAGTTTAAGTTACTAGCTTACCATATTTAGACATTAACATCTGATGGCACCTATGCGTATATAATGTTGGACAGAAATGGAAATCACAATAAACAAAGGGCAACTATAGATGAACTGAAAGACATCTCATTATATTCTTCAATTAACCTAAGCAATACAAATTCAAGTGACAGATTTCTAATTACTGGCTCCAACCTATAACACCGTGACAGGAAATTACAATTGAATCAAACAGTGAATACAAACAAAGCAAATACAAAAGGAATAACAAGGACAACGCAAAAAAGATAAACTCAAAGACCTCACTCACTCTCCAAGACCAACATACCTAGGCCCCAAAGAGATCCCAAGAAATCTTTCCCCAAATCCCCACTCCAAATTCACTTAATCCATCCATACCTCACTACACCCACTCCCCTCCCTTTTATCCTATCAACTAAGAACCTTCCAGAATATTTCCCTAAATAACTAACTAATTCACTCATTCCTTCCCTTTCAGCCCATAGGCCCATCAATACTCCCCCTCCAAAACTCACCTTGTCCTTAAGGTGAAGAAAGAGGATATGTGATGTGAGAAAATATCCACCCAGATCCCGTTGTTTAAAGCTTCTTAACCCCGTTGTCACCCCCTTTCTTTGCAGTAGACTCTGTCCAAACAACAAACTTGTCAAACTCAAACACTCCCATTGGTCTATTCAATATGATAGTTTAGGTGGTATCCAATGCATCACTAAATGTTTTAACAAAAATATGGACCAATATCCAATCTCATCCATCCATCAGGGATAGCAGATGCTGGCACGACCTTGCTATTTGCATATGGAGCAAATAAGGCTCCTTCACCGATTTGCTGACCAATTTCCTCTACCTAGTCATTAGCATGCACTTTTGACGTAATTCCCATCATGGTTCGTGTTATTGTGCTCAGTTACAACTTCCCTCATCGGCTGAACAGTCGTCGCCGGCGACCACCTCTTCCTTTTCCAGCATTGGTTTGCGTGTTCCCAGGAGCTTGTCAAGAAGGTGGGAGTTTGAACGAACTTGGTTCGGCGAATTTAAAGTGTCACACGTGAACCAAAAGTTGCGTTGCCGTTGTTCCGCCATCTCTTGCGGTGACAGTTGTTGGAAACGCACGCCGCAACTACCGCCATTGACGTTTCCCGTGGAGCCTCCCTGCGTTGACCTTTGCTCTTCTATATCTTCAGCTGTTGCTTGCACAAATGTAGGGTTTGTTTCATTGGGCCAAATGTGAGTCCCAACAGCCCTATTATTCTCACCTTGGAAATTATGAAAATCTGGGTTTGTATTGTTCGGGCCTGTGGCCATTGGCCCATTAGCGGTTTCCATAATATGTATATTGGGCCTAATTTTGCCATACACCCTAGGGCGACCCAAGTTAATCATCATCTTCTCCGCTATCTCTTCCTTTTCTTCCATCGCTTGCCTAGACATAACATCCTCCATTTGAGCTAAAGCCATCTTCTCATCTTTGGAGACATAATCCAGATCGATTTGGCCATGGAGATGCAGCTTCGTCCGTTCTCCATCTTCTTTCTCTCCTCCTTCGTCTTCGACTATTTCTTCTTTTTCTTTTTTCTGCTTCTTTTGCATTTGCGCTTCCATCTTCATTTGCTTCTGCTGTCATTAGAGCTTCTCGCTTTGCTTCTTCTTCTTTCTCACTTCTCGCTTTTAATTCTTCTGCAAAACACGGACCGATGCGCTCTATTAACGAATGAATTGTTTTCTGGAGTTGATGAAAAGCGTCTTCAACTCCATCCATTCTTGCTTCCAAACGATCAAAGCTCCTCTCGACCTTCGTGAATCTATATTCCATTTTTTTTAGATCTAGAACAAAAGCACTCCCAGTATTGTAGTGCTTTGATACCAAATTGATGGCACCTATGCATATATAATGCTAGACAGAAATGGAAATCACAATAAACAGAGGACAACTGTAGATGAACTGAAAAACATCTCATTATATTCTTCAATTAACTCAAGCAATATAGAATTCCAGTGACAGATTCCTAATTACTAACTCCAACCTATCACAGTGTGACATGGAATTACAACTGAATCAAATAGTGAATACAAACAAAGCAAATACAAAAAGAATAACAATCTATGAAGCACCGATATGTCCCAAAAAAAAAATTCTACGTATCGGATACGCGTCCCAGACAGACACGCTCTCGATACCCATTTTTACATATCGGATGGGTCAACAAATTCGATACGGTCAATGGCAGGTTTGTGAATTATAAAAAACTGAAGGGTGTTTTTTAACTGCAAATTTTGGCAAAAATACACCCTAAATCAAAATCTGATTCACTTTATACTCACCTCGAGCGTCTGCCGTTTCTGATCTAAATCGAAATTGTTGAGAGATCGCTTCTTCCGACTCACTTTTGCCAACTGCCGTCTCTGTCGACTCGACTCACTTCTTCCTCTCCTCGTGGGTCTGCCATCTCTGCTGACTCACTTCTTCCTCTCCTCGACGCGGTTTTTCCTTCTTTCCTCCTTGGCTTCTTGCATCTTTCCTCTCCTCAACGCCGCATCTACCTCTCTCTCTCTCTCTATTTGGGTGTGCCTTTGTCTGTGTCGGTTTGTCTTTAACCTCACCTTTTTTTCTTTCCTTTTTTATCGTGCATTAATATTGTTACCAAAAAATAAAAAACATTAATAATGTACCATAAAAACTGAGATTGAAACAGCTGTGAGGTATATTTTTTCTCCCTTTTTTGTTGTTTCATTGTCCATATTAATTTGTAATTAACTTCTGTACGAGCTATAATTAATTTTGCTTCTGTTAATTTTTATTTTTATTTTGCATAACGTTTATGATTTATGCTTATGTTTTTATTTTAACCTCATTTTCTGTCTTGGTTTTTTTTTTTTTATATTATCTATTTCTTAAATTTTATGATTCAGTATTTTTGTATAATGTTTTGTATGGATAATTTTTGTTTTGGTAGACAATAATCTATTATTTGTGTTTATGATTTTCCTTTTATTATATTTTGTTAATGTGAAATACACTCTTTATATTAAAAATATTATTTAATACTAAGATGTATCGGAACGTATCGAAATATTAGTATTTTTGAAGTAACGTATTGATGTCCCGTGTCGGGAACATATCGAAAACGCTGAGTCGGTATCGGTGCTTCATAGATAACAATGACAATGCAGAAAAGATAAACCCAAAGACCTCACTCACTCTCCAAGACCAACATACCTAGGCCCCAAAGAGATCCCAAGAGATCTTTCTCCAAATCCCCACTCCAAATTCACTTAATCCATCCATACCTAACTAGTAACTACACAACTCCCCTCCCTTTTATCCTATCAACTAAGAACTTCCTAGAATATTTCTCTAACTAATCCACTCATTCCTTCCCTTTCAGCCCATAGGCCCATCAACATCCAACTGGCCTGAAATGCAAATAACCTGCATCAACGTTGACTGCCGAATAACTTTTTGGAGTTCCACTTTTGGAAATTAATTTGCACAATTTCCAAACTTTTGACAAATAACTCTTTACATCCAAAATGCCATGAACTGTGACTGAATTCAGTTGCCCAACATCAGGAAATTGAGAGAAATTAAGTAAATAATATAGGATTAATTTAATGTGCACATGATAATAGAGACCTCTATAACTAATGTATATTCTAGGAATAATAACGTGAAAAGCAGGGAATTGAACCTTGGGGTTCAGGAGGGATGCAACAAGGAAATCATGAAGAATATTCACGATAGGGACATATAGCATAATGAAATGGACAGGTGGCAGAAATAGATTGGGTCAGAGGAGAAGTCAGTTGAGAGAAGAATATAAGGGGTAGTGGGAGGGGGGTGAGAAAGTGGGGAAGAGGGAAGTAATGTTGGTTTTGGAGTGGGACGAAGCAGGATCCTAGAAGTTCCTGTAGTGTTTTCATTTTTTTTTCCTTTCTTTATTTCCTTATTTTGTTGAGTGTACAGTGTCTCTGGAACTGATATCAACAAGATATCGGTCCTGAGACAGTGTACCACTCCCCATTAAACCGTGTTTAGCGAGGGTAACTGTAGAAAATTAGAATTCAAACATGTTTCCGTTTTTATTTCCTATTAATTAGGATTGATTATGATTGATTAGGATTGATTATGATTGATTAGGATTAATTGTGATT